GAGAGGCCTGCATACCGAAAAAAAAAAAAAAAAAAAAGAAAGCAAAATAAACTTAAAAAAAGGATCTGCACACCCCTTTAAAAACAATAAAAAAAAATACCATCCCAAGAACATGAAATCAGAACTCTAGAAGCAAATCTCTCTACAGGTTAATTTAGAATTAGCAGCCGCAAACAAATGAAGCAGTCCGTCCAAACACAAGCTCTGGTGGCTTTAAGCCCAGCTACATGTATCTTGTGCTACACACACACACACCACACACACACACACACACACACACACACACACACACACACACACACACACACACACTACTGGCATTGCCTTGTAGGGTTGAAAGATTTGCCATGTGGGTAATATTCAGCAAGATGCTATCACTGTCAGATTATGCAGCTCAAGTCAAGTCCAGGTGGGCAGGCAAAGAAGCTGGCAGGACAAAATGCCATCAATTGACCTGTATTATTTCAGTACCTCCGGATACAACTGCATTGTAGGTGCTGATTTCCCTGTAGATGTAAACTTCCCCCCACTGCTGAGCCTGTGTCCTCTGGAGGACAGGAACCTTACCCTATTCATCTCTGTATTCTGCAGGCCCAGCCCATAATACGGTTTGAAGAAACATGAGCATACTCAGCATCTAGCTGGGTTTCATCCCCAGGCAACCAAAGGATTTTCCCATCATGCCAAGGTGAGTTTATTTTCTGCTCCAGCTGCTATAGGCTCAACCCAGAAAAATTAGGGAAAGCTTAAATGTTCACATATACACACCATTTTCAAATTAGCACTTAGTGAATCACTGAATCACTTGTTGTCCACCATTGGTATCAATTTCTGTTCAATGATGACCTGACCTGGAATATCTTATTCAGTTTCATGCAGTAATTTAAGATTCTTTTTTTAGGGGCTTCCCTGGTGGCGCGGTGGTTGAGAGTCCGCCTGCCGATGCAGGGGATGCGGGTTCGTGCCCCGGTCTGGGAGGATCCCACATGCCACGGAGCAGCTGGGCCCGTGGGCCATGGCCACTGGGGCTTGCACGTCCGGAGCCTGTGCTCCACAACAGGAGAGGCCACAACAGAGAGAGGCCCGCGTACCGCCAAAAAAAAAAGTTAACCCCCCAAAAAAAAAAAAAAAAAAAGATTCTCTTTTTAATCCACTGATTGTAGGTATTAAGTTCACACAGGCGGACCTCAGATCAAAATGTTGTTTGCCCATTGCATGAGCCCCTGGGGGGCCAGGGTGCCAACACGCCCCCAGGTAACACCTAGTTCGAGGCAGGCTAAGGGAAAAGGAGAGCCCAAGGCTGTGCCATTTACATAAGTCTGCAATGTGCACTAATACACATGTGCCTCCGGATCCTCGGGTCTCGGGAATGCAAGGCCACCAATCACTCCATGTTCGGATGCACATCCAATGTCGATGTGCTACTGAAAACTTCAAGCTCAGATGCATTCTTTTCTGTCCGAAAGAGAATTAAAATCAAAGTGATGGAAAAGAGAAAAGAAAAAAGGCTATCCTCCTGTGCACATCACAAATCCTCCATAAATACCCATCACATATGGATACCTCTGGGCTCCTAAGACCCACAACTGTCCAACTGAAAGACACAGACAGCCAAGAAGCATTAAGCACACACCATGATCACCATTTATTCCAGAATCTGGCCCTGGGCCCTGACATAACTGACACACCTATCACTCCCTTCCACTAATGAGGCCAAAAGACAGAAATAAAAGCGGAGACCATTTTCATTTCAAGTGTGGCAGGGTACCTTGATCTTCCCTGTGACAACGCTTATAAAGTGCAAACTTGGTAGGGCTCTCGGTCACAAGAAACTTCTTGAGCAGGGCCTCGATCACTTCCCCGACAGTGTTTGTGCTGCTGATGTGGAGCGTATTCATACAGCCATTGCTACTGGGAGCAGGTTTTCCAGAAGTCTGTGAAGGTTTGCAGAGTTCCATCTGTACTTTAATGAAGCCAGTGTAAATCCCATTTGAATTCTGAAGCAGGAATAAAAACACACACCTTAGCTGGGCATTTTAGGGAAGGAGCATATCAAAACAACAACAAAGAAGGAAGGTGAAACACTCCTTTCTCTTGTTCTTTTCTTTTTCAGCTCTGTGACAGAACCTCACTCAAGACTGCCCCTCAGGGAATGACCTCGGGGGCGGTTAACACACTCCAGGAAAGTGCTTCCAGAGGTGAGGTCTGCAGGGCAGATGTGGGGACCAAAGTCCAGGACTCATGCCACTGAAGCTACAAGTGAAAGGTCAGGGTCCATGGGTGAGGTTACAATCCCCTGGCACAGATGCTGGCCAAACCATAGGGCTTATTAAAGCTTGGGGATATGTCCAGGCTAACTGCACAAAGGAAACAACATCAACTGATGACCAGCTATTACACAGAAAAGGAAAGTCACAATTAGGACTTTGAAATACTCAAGTAACAAGGAGCAGACAGGAAGAAAACAAGCTATTTTCATTCCTAGTGGTACCGGAGATTACCAATTTTGCTTAACCTATTTTATATAGCACGGGATCTGCCACAGCATGGGATACATGATGAGGCATTTCAGACACCTCAAGCAGCAACATTTTTAAAACAAATTCAAGCTATGATGTGAACTACAGACATAATATAAGCACTTGTCTTCTTTTTTTTGGGGGGGTGGGGGCGGGTGGGGAGGCCAGGCCACACAGCATGCAGAATCCTCGTTCCCCAACCAGGGATAGAACCCGTGCCCCCTGCAGTGGAAGCATGGAGTCCTGACCACTGGACAGGCAGGGAATTCCCAAGCACTTGTCTTTTTTGATTTAACATGGTATTGATGTCTCCTTCTATATATAAGAACGTTTTTAACAGCTTTATTGAGGTACAATTTTTGCATACAAAAAACTGCACACGGGGGCTTCCCTGGTGGCGCAGTGGTAGAGAATCTGCCTGCCAATGCAGGGGACACGGGTTCGAGCCCTGGTCTGGGAGGATCCCACATGCCGCGGAGCAACTGGGCCCGTGAGCCACAACTACTGAGCCTGCGCGTCTGGAGCCTGTGCTCTGCAACAAGAGAGGCCGCGACAGTGAGAGTCCCGCGCACTGCGATGAAGAGTGGCCCCCACTTGCCACAACTAGAGAAAGCCCTCGCACAGAAACGAGGACCCAACACAGCCAAAAATAAATAAATAAATAAATTTATAAAAAAAAAAACAAAAAAACTGCACATATTTAATATACACAGTTTGATGAGTTTAGCACTTATCTTAACTGATGTAGAATTATTATTTCTTAGTTGCTAAAAATAGTTCTAATAGTCTGGTCTTCACTTTTAACTTTTAGTATGTTTAGGTAAAAAACATTGTAATGTTTTATTTAAACAAATCTTCAGGTGTTATAAATAAATGACACAGTTAACACAGAACATGAAAAATCTCCTTTATAGGCCATTATTTTTCTTCCTTTCCACAAGGTCAATTTATAATACTAATTCACTCATTCATTCTTATGGAAAGTATTATACAACACCACATTTTTTTTAATCTTTGAAACGACATGGAAACTTCCATCTGTTTTAATCTCCAAGGGGAAGAGGAGGGATGTGGAATTTTTCTGCTTTGATAAAAACCGTGTTTGAAGACGGAGAAATACGACTGCTGGAATAATGAGGAATAATCTTGAGATCATCCGCTGTCTCCCCTTTTTGGTGGAGTCCCCCTAGGGAGGGATCCTTTATCACAAGCGTTTATATTTAAAAGCTCCTCCCCAAGGGTCACAGAATTCAGTAGGGCCTGTTCTAACCGGTCGCCCTGTCCTTTGCTGAACTCTGTCAGTTCACAGTCAATAGACTGCCAGGCAGGGGTCCAAGGGCCCTGGACACTGGCACCGAGGGAAGGCAGGTGCCTCGAGGAAAGTCATCAAGTGGCAGGGCGAGGCCAGACCAGTTACAGGAACGTGCATCTGGCTCTGCCTTGGGTCACCCTTTCTTTGTCACTAAGCCTGTGCTTCTCCCTCCTACCCCCTTGCTCCCCACCGAGCTTCTAACAGCATCGGCACAAAGCTGCAGGAGCCTGAAACAACAATGTAGAAAGCTGAGTATTACATACTCCATAATACACATTTTTCTCCAGCTGAGAAAAATCTGAGCTCAATTAGATCCCAATCCAGGGGCACAAGATCCTTTTCCTGACACTTCCAAATTTATTTACACAAGATAAAACTTATCTAAGGCCTTATTAGAATCTGAGTTACTGCCCATGTGTTAAAAACAGGCAAGGGATTACACTCAGTGTTAAAAATCCTTTGGGGATCATAACATGTTTTAAAATAAAATTTTAGGAAGTGCTGATTGATTATGAGATAAAGCTGCTTCAAAATACAGCTTTCATTTGAAAGAGGCAGAAATATCCCATTCTCCGGTCCTGTATACCTTGACCATTAAGGTTCTGCAAGTATGATTCAGAGATTTTAAAACATACAGACTGTAGTACCAACAACTTATAGTTGTCTTTCAACACGTGTCAACCTAAACAGTATTATTAGTGTGGGTACTCACCAAGGTCATCTTCAACTTGTCCGTGACTGCTAAGTTGTATTTATGAACTTTCTCTTTGATTTCCTCTTTGCTGAGGTAATTGTGGGTTTCCTTATCTTTCTCCACATCCTAGAAGAAAAATAAGCCAAGTCAGACATGAGCAATCACAGAAAAAAATGCAGATAAGCCAGGGTTCTTTTCACATTCTATATAACAACAACTACGGAGCACTTTACCTTGACACACACACACAAATCCTATGAACTTTATGATCTTTATAGCTTTACAATCTTTACCAGCAAAAAGTATGGTAGTTAATAAGTGTTAAACTGGCACTAATCACTGACCTGTCAAATTCTATACAACTACCAAGAAGGTCATTTAATCTTCCAAACAAATCCTCATGCCAAGATAGAAGTAACCAGACTTCCTGGACACACCCACTCTCAACCCCTGCCCCTCCCAGTCTCACCCCACCCATGCCTCCCCCCACACTCTGGAGGGGAAGATTTTAGTTAAATCCTCTCATCGCTGTGAAACATTCACTAACTGTTTTTGTCTAAAGAGCTCAACCAGTGCATGACATCATGCGATGGCTAATATGCAATCACTGACGGCCACACTCCAGAATCTGTTGGCCCCATGAAGCCCAGTATACCAGGCACCTGACTTATATTGCATTTATTTCTCCCAACAACTTAACCAAGTTGGCATTTTTACTAGATGAGATCAAGTTCTAAGAAGTAAATCAACCTACTAATAAAAACTTAACTGCTCTGCAGAAGGGCTGGAGCTTACCTGAAAAACCTGATTCCAAAGCCCACCAACCCTCAGTAACTCCAAGTACTTCCATATGGGATCCCCATTTAATCCTCACTAATTACTACAGACACTAATTGTTACAGACAGGGACACTGAGACTCACAGAGGTCAAGTGGCTTGCCGGGGACAACCCAACTGGTTAAGAGACCAAGCTCAATTTTAATCCAGGTCCTCTATGTTGTTTCCACTAAATCGAATAGATCCCCACCATTCCCGTGTGGGTGTCTGAAAACGTAAAGGAAAGCCTGCATAATCAGATTCAAACCTGAGAAGCAACTCAAAAAAGATCAAGGGTCCTAACAATCTTCAGGACAGAGAGGAAGAACAATAATATCGGATGATTTCTCCCCCAAAATAAAACCTTTAAAAAGGTACCTCTCTTCCAGCCAGATAATCACCCCGACCTCACAGCTGGAGGTTATCCAAGCAGGTGTTTGCTCCCACCTACGCACTGTGAGCTACCGTGATAGATACACACGGAACGGCCATGACAAAAACTGCAGGAGAGCTTTAAAGGGTATAAAATCCATTCAGGTCTCAAGTTCCTCGATTGGAGACCCTGAGACGGGTGTGCTGACTACAAGTCATCTCAGTAACTTTTCGATTCCAGACCTGTCCTAGTGTGGACTGAGGGGTCAGTGTTGGGGGGACGCCATGGTCACGGCCCAGCTTCAGGAGCAAGCCTCAAAGTCCCTTGGGAGCATCCTATCTACCAATGCAGTCTTATTTTTGGTGTCAGTGGTTAGGAGGAGAAAAAGCCATAGACTAAAATAACTTTTCAGAAGCTTCAATGACTATTTCCAATGTGTCTCTCACATTTCTCTGCTGGCCCTGCCCCTTCCAATCCACAATTAGGCAGCTACAGGCCATAGCTAAAGTAGAAAATGAGACTGTCTCTGTTTCAACATTCATTTTTCACTATGAACTGTCCAAAGACTCCTCAAAGCATATCCTAAAAAGTATACAGTAAGAGGGGGGAGGGATAAATTAGGAATTTGGGATTAAGAGATACACACTACTATATGTAAAATGGATAAACAATAAGAACCTACTGTATAGCACAGGGAACTATATTCAATATCTTCTAACAATTTATAATGGAAAAGAACCTGAAAAAGAATATATATATCTGGGGACTTCCCTGGTGGTCCAGTGGTAGAGAATCCGCCTTCCAATGCAGGGGACACGGGTTCGATCCCGGGTCAGGGAACTAAGATCCCACATGCTGGGGGGTAACTAAACCCACGCGCCTCAATGAGAGAGCCCGCGTGCTGCAACCCACAGAGCCCACGCATGCTGGAGCCTGTGCACCACAACCAGAGAAGACCCGCATGCCACAACTAGAGAGAAGCCCACCCGCATGCCACAACTAGAGAGAAGCCCAAGCAGATCACGTGCCGTAACGAAAAGATCCCACAAGCCTCAACAAAGATCCCGTGTCCCGCAACTAAGACCCGATGCAGCCACAAAAAGGGAAAATAAATTAATATATATATATAGATAGATAGATATAGATAGATGTATCTATAGATATATAAAACCGAATCACTTTGCTGTACACCTGAAACATAGTAAATCAACTACATTTCAATAAAAAAAGAAAATAATTATAAAACAAAAAAATTTTTTAAAGACCAAAAAAAAGTATACAATAAGAGATTTTCCATTTCATGGGGGTGGGATGTGATGATGGCAGAGCAAAGGGTGCTGGAAAATTGCCGCATTCCAGCCAGACCTGGGCCTAGTCTGGGTCTGTCACTGACTAATCCTGTGCCCTGGGCTACTAACCTGTCTGCATCTGCTCCTTTGTTTCCTATCAAATAAAGGGACTGGAGTAGACATCTCCAAGGTGCTTCCTGCTTGCAGAGATTTGCTTCCCCAGTGTGACCAATGGGACAAGATGGTTCCACTCAAGGAATCGAGGAAACCAAAGGCTCACCATTAAAAATAAATAAAACAGCAAATTACATGAATATTGTAGCATAGATACACCCTGGGGACTTACTACTTAAAGAAGAAGTCTAAGAATGAAGAGACGGAGAAGGGGTGATGGGAGTGATTAAGAGCAAAGGGCAGGGTGGTCAAGTTATCTTGGTCACTTTTTGTTTTTCTGTTTTTAAATGTCTGTTCAACTTATTTGCCTCTTTTTTTTTTTTCTTTTGGCCGTGCCATGAGGCTTTCAGGATCTCAGTTCCCCAAGCAGGGAATGAACCCGGGCCACAGCGGTGAAAGCGCCAAATCCTAACCATGAGACCACCAGGCAACTGCCCCATTTGGGTGAGTTCTTAATCACAGGTTTTGCTGATGCTACTGGACTTAGCATCCACCCTGAGGCCTCCTCAAGTCAGCCTTCCCAGAAGCTTGAGCAAAGTCAAAGGAGGAAGCCAGTCTGGGAAGAGAAACTTGCTCTGGGTCATCCAAGTACAGATAACTGAGACATGCTTGTATAACCACTCTGCTACCTTCATCAGAGATTAAAAACCCAGGAAACTGCAGGAAGCAACGACAGAAAACAGGTGGACCCAAAGATCCCTTCCAAAGCTAAAATCTCACTATTAAAAGTGAGATCAACTGGAAAGCAAATCCCAGAGAAGCAGCTAAAACCTAAAGGGCTCTGATCCTGTATTTTTTCTCATCCAAGTATAACTGACTTACAATATTATATTAGCTTCAGGTATACAACATAATGATTCAATATTCTTATACATTAGAAAACAATCACCACTGTGTTTTTTTTTGGCCTTGAGTCATAATAACAGGAAAAGAGTTGCTTGCATTATTTCTGACGAGAAATTAGTTGTCTTCTTTTTTCAATTGAGATATAATTGACATATTGTATTTGTTTCAGGTGTACAGTGTAATTTTATATGCATATAAAAACGATCATCACAGTAAGTTAACACTCATCACCATACATAATTTTTTTTTTCTTGTGATGAGAACTTCTAAGATCTACACTCTCTTCTGTGATCTTGTTTTTGTTTGTTTTTACCGCGCCCCGCAGCTTGTGGGATTTCAGCTCCCCGACCAAGGATCGAACCCGTGTCCCCTACAGTGGGAGGGCAGACCTCCTAACCAACCACTGGACTGCCAAGGAAGTCACTATGATCTTGTATATTTAAGTCAACTGAGGGAGCAACTGTACACCAAGGCCACAGATCAAGGCCTATTCATTCAGCAAATATTTGCTGAGCAGAAGCTGTGTGCCAGGCCTTGCTCTGCGTGGGGATGTCAGACACCACCTCTGCCCTCATGGCACTTCCGGTCCAGCACAGGTGGAGTATGAGTGAGGAATGTCAAAGAAAAAAGGCTTCCAAGATAACTAAGCAGAGTTCCTCTGAGTGAAGGAGTCTGGCAGCAGAGGGAAAGGCACAGGAGTCGCAAGCTCAGGCCCTGGAGCTGAACTGGAGGGTCAGAACTGGAGAAAGTCTCCGGATCTGGAAAACGTCCAGATAGTTTGCCCCTTTAAAAGAGACCCCCCCACCTCTTCCTCTCACACAGGGAAGAATCCTGCCTGTCCTCCAAACACAGTGCCTTTGGGAATACGGCTATGACGGAACCCAGAAGGGAGGAAGTAGGCACAATGCGTACAGAAGTGAAATCAAGAAGCAGAGAGTTAAAAAAAAAACCCGTGTGGTGCGCATGGAACAGAGACAGCGGAGCACAGACGTTCATCTTTAATTGTATGGCGAGGAGAGGAAATGGCATGGGCGCATGCGTCTGTGAACGCATCCATTATTGTTCTTGGCAGCCGAGGAGGGTATGATGCCACGCCTGAGAGTGTTTGTTTGGGAAGTTACAAGTCATCTTTTTTATAAGCCACTTTTCTTTTACATTCCCCAAACCCTCCAGTTTCTCAGAGGGAGAGTTCTTCCATGCAAAATTATAAACCCTAGACTCTTCTCTCATGTTTACATCTAGCAAGCAAGCCCTGGATGGCTGCTCTCGGATTTGCCTCAGTTCCTGGGTGGGGTTACATCACTGTTTTTACACCGGTGACCTTTCATAAAGGACACACCCTACCTCGCAGACACACAGGAATCCCAGGCAGTGTGGCCCCGCCCTAGGCTAGAGCAGATCGCGAATCAAGATTGTCCAAGAATATACAGACCCCTACAAACTTCGACAAAGGGTCTGGACACTATTTATACCCTTCTTGCTAACTTTTCTGTAATTTTGAAATAATATCAAAATTAAAGTTTTTTCCTTCCAGTTTTATTGAGATATAATTGACAGACAGGACTATATAAAACGCAGCATAAAATAATTTAAGTTAAAAATGCAACAATAAAAATAAACCTAACAAG